CAGTATAAATACAGCTAACAATTATATATAATATTACAGATCAATACCATTATTTTTTTATTTTATTCACATATTATGCGTGAAAGAGAGAGAATTATATACAACAGTGTAATTGTAAATAATTGTGTGTATACATATTAATTTTAAATTGATGATAAAATTTTGAAAGCAAAATAAATTAGTAAATTAAAAGTATATAAATGTTATGAATATTTTGTTTTGATGTTGATATGATAAAGAATTGGAGGTGCAGTCGTGAAAAAGGAAAGATTGTTATTTACCTTTCAAGTAGTTTTTATTTTCAATTACTTGAAAAGAATTACACATTAATTATTGTTTACAGTAATATAAAATATATAAAGTGAATCCTATATTCGTTGATTAAAAAATAGGTAGATCAACTATGCATATTTACAGCAATATTCAAAAAGTATTCTATAAATCTATGGTCAAAAATAAAAGAATAGTCAATGATGAAAATAAAAATACATGTTTTGAAAAAATAAATATTCGTATTTTAGATTATATAATATACATAGTTATTTACAAATAATTAAGATATGAATTCTTTATAAATTTCTGGAAAATCAAATATTTATGTTTATACTTTGTTTATACTTTCTTTAAAAATTATAATGCTATATTAGAATGTTACAAAAAGCATAAGACACGATGCAACTCATTTTATTTGCTTTGGTAAAGGAAGCTTTCGGACAAGCTCTTCTTCAGTTAACCAACATATATAAAGTGTACAAACTGAAAATGTAGTAGACCAGACAGGAAATGGACTGTGGAGCAATCAGAACGAAGCCATCTCTGTCGGATTATCCAGAGCTTTGGTTTTGCTCACGTCCTGGAATGATAAATCTTTCTGGAAGTAACTTTTACCTTAGTCTTGATATATGTTATCTTACTGACAAATTATATATATTGTATCGTAGAAAATTAGGAAAAACAAACTTCAGGATGACACTGCAATTTATTTAAGGCAATCACAAATTAATATCAATAAAAAAACAAGAGAAGAAGTTTCTGCAGAGTAATAAAATATTATATAAAAACATCAAAATTAATAATATGTCTACATAAAATAATATATATATTATATATATAATCTAAAATGCAATTATTTTATTTTTAAAACATATATTTTATTTTCATCATTGACTGTTCTACTTTTTTGACCATAGATTTAGAACATAACACTTTTTGAATATTGTTGTAAATATTTATAGTTAACTTACCTATTTTTTTAATTCACGAATATAGAATTAATTTTATATATTCTATATTACTGTGACAAATAATATTATGTATAATTTGCTTCTCTCTCTCTCTCTCTCAAGTAATTCAAAATAAAAACTACTTGATGGATAAATAATCATCTTTCCTATTTTTACGACTGCACCTTCAATCCTCTATCTTTTTCAACAACAAAACAAAATATTAATAACATATATATATTAAAATAAATAGTTGTTTATTTTTATAATTTAGTTTTGTATTAAAATTATCTTTATTTCTTTGATTATTTAAATTCAAATTATAAAATTTGTAAATTGTTATTAATTAATAGAGAGAGATCTAATCAAATCTACTTAGGTTGTTTAAGGATACATATGTTTGTGATATTGCCTTCTTGGTAATAATAATCAAAATACATAGTTTGGATGAGAATTAGCTTTAACTGTGCTAATAAAGAATATAGAATACATCATTTGAGAAGTACTACCTGACTTAAGGCGAATAGAATAAAGAAAAGAAAATATTACATATTTACATATCTACAGAATGTTTTGAGCCGGCCAACGGGAAAAAACAACAATGAGTTTTATATAGGGAAAGCCGCGATAACTGGCGGGTATATTTAACAGAGTAGTTTGTTCTAAAAATTATAATAAAAAATAGAATAAAATTTTCATATAACATTTCCATATAGTATATATATTTTAGGTCTTATATATTACACATTAGAACAATAGCCTGTTGGATATTCGACGAATCATTTGAAGAATGAACGAACTTAAAATAATGTTTTTCAATGTAATAAAAAATAATATATTAATACACCGCTAATATTTACCATTACAAAGTAGACTGGTTGTACAACGTGGCCGTAGTTAATTTCTTCAGGGATGTTGAGCACCAAGTTGAAGGGAGGCGGGGGGTTTTCAAAGTTGGGAAAGAGGATATCATTGGGAACATCGTACATTTCCAGGTCGAAATTGGTATAAAGAATGTCCAGGTTTTCCTGTTTGAATTCCACATTCCTTTCGGCGAAATGCTGCTTTGTTGTTTCACGATTATTTATAGGCTATACCAGTTGATAATAGATACATCCTCTGTTGTATAAAAAGCTTTTTGGGGGATTTATTACAGAGTAATAAATATAATATATAGGTCATTGGACGAGTGGGTAACACCCTCGATTCCCAACAGCCATGAACAGGGATCGAATCTTGCATTGGACCCTTTGTTTTAATAAGTGAATAACCTTCATATATTATTCATTGTTGTAAATATCATAAACTAGATTTCTCTTTTTGAGTGGTACCTAATAAAGTCATTTTGGAACCAGTAATATAATATATATATTAATTATAAAATTAAATTATATTACAGGAAACAATCTTGAAGAATGTATTGTTTTTATTCCTATTATAGCATTTTAAAGAACCAAATAGTAAATATAACAATATAGCCATACAAAAAAGAAATATTCATATATAAAAAATATCTGTTTAAAGCATAAAACGCATCATATAATGTATTTATCTTATTTTACATTCGTAAATATCATGAATTCAGATTTAAAATAGACAATGATATCAGATTTCGAAATAATCTGAAAAAATATTTAAAAAATTCTAACAACCCGAAGGCTCTCTGCCATATAAAATACTCCTGTAAATGGTCAGGGTAGCTTTTTCTATTCTATATTTGTATAATATTAATGACACAAACTATTGAATCATTTTTATTTCGTTTTAAATATTCTGAAAGCGAAATGTTTCTAGTCTTCATTATTATTATTATTATTATTTTTTGCTTATCCCTAGTACACGTGGTACAGGTCAAAATAATCATGGTGGGTTGAAGGAGACTGCTCTTACTATAAATGCACCACATGTCTACACATGTGAAAATCAGCTCGACTTTGCACTTACAAATGTACCAGAGCTCGTTTGGTTACTTGCACTCGCTGGTGGGGTTGGAATTTTGCAAGAATCAGGGGCCATTGGAGCATTTTTTTAATCAGAAAAAAAGTGCCCAATGCGGGAATCGAACTTGGGTCGTAGCGGTCGTAAATCAACGGTTTAGACCACCCTTCCACCGAACCCCTATTAATAATAATAATCGTTTTAAATATGAAAATTAAAAAATATATATATTTAAATATTGCCTAGAATCCAAGATTATGGTTAATATTAACTAATTTTATTAATTAACCGTGTCTCGTTTCTCTTAATTATAATTGGTTAAATTATTAATTAAAACTCCTTGTGGAATATTTAATTTTGCTTATCTATGAAAATACATCCCACGGTAAATTCATGTTTTAAATGTTCTGTTTGGAATCAACAGTGAAGAGTATCAACAGTGAAGAGTGAAATGATCATTAATTTCTATTTGAAAACATTTATAACATTCTTGCCATGTGTAGTTACTCTGTTACACAAATAATGAGCAATTTTCTTTTCTTTTTTTTTATCTCCACTCAATCATATTAGAGCAGTGATTCTCAACCACTGTGCCGCGGTAATTTTGTGTGCCGCGAAATTCTAAAAATGTGCCGCCGAATTTTAGTCATATGATTATGTTCACGTTTGTATTGGTTTTTCTTTTTTTCTTTTTCATTTTTTTACTTTTTAAAATAACGAAATTAGCAAATTGAATGTTAGAGATGTATATTACTTATATTTTGCATAGAAATATTGATACATAATTTGAATTTTCTTGCATTCAAGTTAGCAAAAGTGTGCCGCGAAATTCTAAAATTGTGCCGCCAAATTTTCAAATCTTTAAAATAGTGCCGCAACAAAAAAAAAAAGGTTGAGAATCACTGTATTAGAGTATCAAGCCTGAACTCCGCCTTTGCCGGTCCCAAGCCGGGATGAAAAAGGAGGAGGGGGAGCAGTAACAAGCTCCGTAAAAAATCTGGGTTCATCTGACCCGGCTGATAGTACCCTGTAAGTGTTCCAGATCCAGGGATACAAGATGAGCAGCGTTTGTACTCCATGTTAGGAGCAGCTGCACATGGCGTCTGTTCCTCATGTCAGAGGTGGCATTTTCTTCTTTTTTTAGAGCTAAGTCAGCCTGCCACCGAGTAGTGCTCCCAGTCCTAATGACAAAGGCAGACACATTCTACTTCACCCGGTGTAGAGATAAGAAAGAAGAGAGAAGAAAAAGGGTATCAAGCTTGAGATTTGACAACCGTCATGACTGGATGAAGTAGAATGCGTCTGCCTTTGTCATTAAGACTGGGAGCACTACTCAGTGGCAGGCCGACTTAGCTCCAAAAGAAATTGCCGCTTCTGACATGAGGAACAGACGCCATGTGCAGTCACTCCTAACATGGAGTACACTACTCATCATGTATCCCTGGATCAGGAGACCTTACAGGGTACTATCAGCCGGGCTAGCTGAGCCCAGGTTTTTTAGCGAGCTTGTTAATGCTCCCCCTCCTCCTTTTTCATCCAGGCTTTGGACCGGCAAAGGCGGAGTTATTAGCAATTTTAAAACCTATTGAATGAAAACATATAACATTTTATATCGACATGCTTGAATAAATTTTAATAAATATGTATTTTATGATACAATATAATGCGGCTTATGATTGTAGAAGGGAAATTTGGCAATTATACCGCAAATGTTTCTTTTGAACGAAATATCGGAATTTATTTGAAAGAGAAAATTACAAATTTTCGTTCTACAATCATAAGACTAATTATATTGTATTATACATTTCTCTTTATAATATTTACGAACGGAAAAATATGTCCAGGGTAGCTTAGTGGACATGGCATCTGCCCAGTAACCGGAACATTGTGGGTTCGATTCCCATCTCTGGACACTTTATTTTTCCGTTCATCATTACACTTCACAATTCATTCTATCATACTTCATCCCTAATGTTAGGAATAATCGTTATTTTTCCTTCAATAAATTTCGATATTTCGTTCAAAAGAAACATTTGCGGTATAATTGCCAAATTTCGTTCTACAATATGTATTATATATATATAAATTATTCTAGATATACAAAGTTAAAAAATGATAGTTTAAATTTTTGAAAAAATACATTTTTTAAAATATCGATTTTTATAGTAATGCTCAAAAAATCGTTCAATCTTTCAAATGTCAATAAAAATTGATCGTTGAAGATAAAAGCTGTAATCAAAGTTGAAGGTTATACCGAGATGTGAAGTTACTTTATTGTATGAAAAGTAAAGTATAAATTAAGATCAACTTTTTATATGGTAGAAGAGATATCGGAATTTATTTGAAAGAGAAAATTACAAATTTTCGTTCTACAATCATAAGACTAATTATATTGTATTATACATTTCTCTTTATAATATTTACGAACGGAAAAATATGTCCAGGGTAGCTTAGTGGACATGGCATCTATATATTATATGTAAAAAAATAGTACAAATGTGATATTGTACTGGGATAAGGTGCATAAATTAAGAAAAAGGCATCTCCTTATCGTGCAACTGAAAGTTGCTGATGGCTTGCGCCATCTATCGGAATAAATATCAACTATTCTCGTTAATGGGTATTTGGCCAATTCTGGAATAGTTAAAAATCAACGAGAATAGTTGATATTTATTCCGATAGATGGCGCAAGCCACAGTAACTTTCAGTTGTACGATAAGGAGATGCCTTTTTATTAACTATTTATATATATTTTATAACTAATAAAAGAATAATTTAGGACTAACAAAGATATCAATACTGAGACTTTAGATATTAAAATTGCATTGGATAAAATCAAGTATTAAAATGAAATCAGCAGGCATTCTCTCGAGCAAGTTTCGTTTGGATTTTTTTTTATTATAAGAATTCTCTAGGATTCGTGCCTAAAAGATGCAATTTCTTATATAAAAAGATAGGCTATATCTATATATTATAAAATAACAAATAAAAACATTGTGACACGAATGTTTCTTTTCACAAATAAATCACACTTCTACTGTCCTTACTGCGATAAAAAAATATTAGGAGGTCTTGGCTCATCAGTGGTAAACACTCCCAGTGGTTTAGCCAATTTAATTGTTGAATTTAAGATATATCACGGAATATTTTATCAATAGATTTTTATAAATATAGTTATCATCATCAATGGTTGTTATTCTTCTTCTTATTTTAGTTTTACATATGTATGTTTGTATCTAGATGATAAATAAAGTTTTATTAAATTAAAACGTATTTGTTATGCATTGATTGAATATAATAAAAAACCAATAATTGGTAGCAGACCGTGGTTGATAAAAGTAAGTAAATAAAATATTTTCCTGAAATCTAAAGCGGTACGTAATTAAAATAAGAACATTCAAAATGGCGGAAAATATAAGAATTCCTGAATTTAATGGAGAAAATTTCCATAGCTGGAAATTCAGAATAGAAGCCTTCCTTGAAGGAAAGGGATTAAAAAGGTATTTATATGAAGACCCGCCACAATTAGATGATAAGACAGATTGGAGTATCAAGGATGCCCAAGCAAAAGGAATAATGACTAGTGCAATGAATGATAGTCAAGTAAGTTTAATTTTGAATTGCAAAACTACAAAAGACATTTGGAACTCAATTCATAGAAGATATGAAGGAGATATAAAAAAACAAAAAATTGAGGCTAAAAATAACCTCTTCAGAATGCAGATGAAAAAGGATGAAAATTTAAATCAGTTCTTACTTAGATCAGAAAAATTACTAGAAACTGCAAGGATATTGGGAAACAGTATTGAAGAAGAGGAATTTGTAGATGCATTTATAAAGGCTTTACCAACAAAATACAATATCATAGTGATGCAATTGAGCAGCATTAGTGATCCAGGAATTCTAGACATAAGAAGAATTGTACAACTTTATCTAGAGAGATACAAATTTCAGGAAAAAGAAGAAAATCCTAATGCATATAAAATGTTCACTAAAGAAAATGTGCACTTTAATAGGAATACAACATTTGAAAATACAAGACCTAAAAGGAAGATTCAATGCTTCATATGCAGTAAATATGGACATAAAGCAAATGATTGTTGGTACAACCCAAAAAACAAAGGAGAAAATTCCACAAGAAAGAACAATGGACCACAATCAAACACACATTCTTGGAAAACAAGACAAAATGTGCCCAGAGCTACAGCTGCTAAAGTAAAAGAAGAACAGACATTTACCACAATCAGTAAAGAAGAGGAGATAAAGGAAGATAAATATCAAGGTTGGATTCTAGACAGTGGAGCAACTTGTCATATGACATCCTCTCTTGAGCAAATGAAAGACATTCAACCTGATGAAAGAAAAATTGTTCTAGCTGATGGGAGCTACACCAAATCAAATTACATAGGAAATGTGAAACTAAATGGTGTGAATCATTTTTTAATACTAAATAATGTTTTACATGTCCCTAGTTTAACTGATAATTTGATTTCCGTAAACAAACTTGTACAAGAAAATAACAAAGTGATTTTTGATCAAAAAGGAGGACATATTATTGATCAAGCTGGATATACTATAATTACAGCAAACAAAGTAGGAGACCTATATTTTATAAAAGGAAATAATAATAAAATAGATATCACTTTCAAAGTAACTAATATCCCATGGGAGGTGTGGCACAAAAGACTTGGACATATAAATGATCAATACATGGAAATAATGAAAAAGAATCAATTAGTTTATAAATTTGACTACAATGAACAGAAATCAATGGAAAATTGCATCAGCTGTATAAAAGGAAAGTATTCAAGAAAACCCTTTAAGACAGTTACTGAAAATCAATCAAACCAGCCACTTGAGCTACTACATTTGGATTTGATAGGTCCAATCAAACAACTCTCAATTGGATCTGCAAAATATGTTTTAACTATAGTAGATGATTTTTCAAGAAAAATATTTGTTAAATTTTTACATTCAAAATCTGATACTTTAGAAATATTCAAAGAATTTTTAGAAAGTACTGAAAACCTATTGAATAAAAGAGCTAAATGCATAAGAAGTGATAATGGGCTTGAGTTTGTAAATCAAGAATTTGAGAATTATCTGAAAAATAAAGGCATTATACACCAAAAAACAACTATTTACACTCCACCGCAAAATGGCATAGCAGAAAGGGCTAATAGAAGCATCATAAATGGAACAAGAACACTACTTGTAGAATCAGAGCTTCCCACCAAATTTTGGGCAGAAGCCATGCATAACTTTGTTTATACTAAAAATAGAACACCAAACAAACATAATTTGAAAATAACACCTGAAGAACTCTTTACAGGTAAAAAGCCTACAGTGGCACATCTAAGAACATTTGGTTGTATTGCTGAATTTTGGATACCAAAAGAAAAAAGAGCAAAATTTGACATGATTACACATTCAGGTATATTCATGGGCTACTCATCAAACAGAAAGGCATATAGAATTTTTAACCCAAACACTTATTCAATAGTTGAATCAAGAGATGTAAAATTTATAGAAAATAAAAAAGGAGTATCATTACTAAAGAGTGATCAAAATGAAGTACAGGACTATTGCATCTTTAAGTTTCCAGAAGAAAATTTTGATTATGATTCAGAAAATAAACCATCAGAAGAGTCCAACATTCAAGAACTTGAAGAAGCTACACAACAACAACAAAATAATGTTGTTCCCTACCTCAGGCCAAGTGCAAGAAATAAATATTATTGTGAGCTTTCTTCAGATGAAGAAGAATTATCAGATGATTCAAGACTTGATCCAACATTTGATCCTACAGAACACAACCTTTTTGCCTTGGATGAAATTCCTATACCCAACTCATATGAAGAGGCCATTAATAGCAAAAATCCAGAATATTGGATTGAGGCCATGCAAAGGGAAATGAATTCTCTACAAGAACATCAAGTTTGGGACCATGTTTATCTACCTAAAGGGGTAAAACCCATAAAATCTAAATGGGTATATTCATCAAAGGTTGATCCATCAACAGGACAAACTATCTTCAAAGCAAGACTTGTGGCTCTTGGATGCTGCCAAAAGGATGGAACCTACTTCCAGAATATCTGCTCACCTGTGATGAAAAGTGACAGCTTTAGAACACTTTTAGCATATTGTGTGTTACAGGGTTGGAGCTTAATACACTGTGATGTACAGACTGCATTCCTATATGGAAAATTAGATGAGGACATTTACCTACTTCCACCTCAAGGATATCAGCCTACTGATGAAAATCTTGTCTGTAAGTTAAACCAGGCATTGTATGGGCTGAAACAGTCAAGTAAGGTATGGTACAATACTTTTTCTGATCATTTGGTTAAAATAGGGTTTACTAGATTTAATTCTGATAAATGTTTATTTGAATTTAAAATTGGAAATTCTAATCTTATTTTAGGCCTATATGTTGATGACATGATAATAATTTACTCAGATATCAATATATTAAATGTGGCCATAGGCAAAATTGAATCAAAGTTTAAATTAAAAAGAAATGCTGATAATTTTACCATTTTAGGATTTGAGATTACTCAGCATGAAAATAAAATAACTCTAAAACAAGAGGGCTATATTAACAAATTATTACAAAAATACCATATGCAAGATTGCAAAGGTGTTTCTACACCAATGGATGTTAACACAGATTTTGGAAATTTCCACAGTTCTAAAAAGATAGATCAGCATAAATACCAAGAACTTATTGGTAGTTTGCTTTATTTGGCATGTAAATCTAGGGCAGATATAGCATTTTCTGTTACTGTTTTAAGTAAATACAATACAGATCCTAGAGAAATTCACTGGAATGCTGCCAAAAGAGTATTAAGATATTTACAATTCACAAAAAAATTAGGTTTAGTCTATACTGTGGGTGACACCAAGCTAGAA